ATGTATCCTGTCACACCTGACGCTGCGCGGCTGGCTGCTACGTCAGGTCATAGTCAACTGGGTTCCGTGTTCCGCGGATTTCCGTCCGCAAGCATTACGGCAGCTGTTGCTGGATCCCTGGTCAGTTGCACATGAGGGCTCATGTGCTGCATGACTGTTCTCCTTCCTCGCTCGCCACCGCGCCATTTTGAGGAGAATGATTCGGTTCGGAATCGACGGGTGTCTGTCTGCTTGCATTTACAGTTCCTCACCTTGGTGGTGCCGAGTAGTAAGGCTTTTGCTGGTTGGTTCTCGTTTCTTGATTCTGCAGCTGTTCGTCTTTGCTCTCGGCCCTCGCAGAGTATTGGAGGGGCAGGTTGTCATTTTGTGGCCCCCAGTTGCTCTACCACTTTTCCGCTGCATGGGTGCTTCCGTTGCCGTTTGCTTTCGGTGAGATCCGCCGCGAGTTCTTGGCTCGGTGTGATACTTCGCTGACTCGGGCGCCTGCCGACACTGTGTGTGTGTGTGTGTGTGCGTCTGTGTGTGTGTGTGTGCGTGTGGGGTATCTTTTGTGCTTGCAGTTCTTCTGACCCACCCATCGCTTGCCTGTCGCAGTGTGCGATACTTGTACGTTCCGCTATCGACAATGCTCGGTCGCAATTCGCACTTCCATCTGCTGCTCGCTCCTGGGGACCCCCTGCGCCGCTGACTCAAACGTGCCTGGGTGTGTCTGTGTGTGGGTGGGCTCGTCAGCAGAAGGCGGATGTGGGGTCGGAATCGCGGCACCCTGCCCCGTGGCCACTCGTGGCCCTGATGTGTGTGTGTGGAGGAGGAGGAGGAGGAGGAGGAGGAGGAGGAGGAGGAGGAGGAGGAGGAGGAGGAGGAGGAGGAGGAGGAGGAGTGGCGGTCTTCGAACGGGGATGGTGGGGGCACACATGCGGCCACGAACTTTGGCTCAGCGCGTCGCGCCGCTTGCTCTGCCCTCCGCGCTGCGGCGCGGCACGCCACCCGCGACCCCCGGGCCCCCCTCTGGACGTCAACGCCCGGAGAGCTCCTTCCCCGGGCCCCCCCCGCGCCGCGGAGCGGAGCGACGCGCTGTCTCCGCCCTGCGGGGCGCAGCGCGTCGCCCTTGGCCGCCGCAGAGCGAGCGCTTCCCTGGCCGGTTTCCCGTCCTCGCTTCTGCCTGAGCCAGGCCCTCGGGCCCTGAGCCCGACCCCGCGGTCCCCAAGACGGCACAGGTGACCCTCGAGGGGGCCCAGGTGCGATCCTCTTTGGGGCGCCTGGGGGCATCGCGAGGCCCGGGCTCCCGTCGTAGGGGCCTCCTGAGAGTTAGAGCAGAGCAACATCGGGCGGCAACACCTGGCATACTCCATCGGCACCCAGACCCTCCGCTGCCTTGGAGAATCCTCCAACCAAATAGACGTCACATGACCCGAGGGTGCCCCGCTGCGTGCCAGAGACACTTTGCTGGATGTTCGGATTCTGCTTCTTGGCGCTCACTCCTGCCTTCACCCTTGCCATCCTCTGCTTTCACCCTGCCTCCCCATCCCCCCTTCCGTCGGTCCCTCCCACATCTTCATTTGCTCTTTCCTCATCGCCCTTGCCCCAGGAAAATCAGCCGCCATCGCTAACGCCAGCTCCACTCCTACCACCGCAGCCGTAACACCCGCCAGCTGCCACCGCTGCCATCACCTGACGCCACCGCCTCAAGCAGACTGGCGGTCGGGAGTGGTGGCATCGGTTGTGGAAGCAATGGTGAAGATATGCATGCTATCTGAGCGCATGCAGACGGGGCTGGTTGGATTGGAGGGCTCAGGCGCGTGGCAGTATGGGCGCTGACGGAGCTGGCCGAGCATGATGACCAGGATGCGATCAGCTCGCTCAAGGCCCTGAAGAATGACTGGGACTGGGAGGGGCCAGTTGGAGTGCCAAGGGTCGACCAATCGTTGTTTTGTTTTTCATTCGGCCTCGTTGTTATCTTATTCTAGGGCGCACCATTGGCTAACCACGACTTCGGGTTTGCATCAAGACGACGCTGCTTTTTGGTAATCGGTCGGACCGTCTTCGTTTAAAACGCATCGTCCCAGACACGATGTAAGCCAGCCTGGTCCCTAAGCAGCGTGTTCCAGCATACTATGTGGTACAAGCTATGTGGTATTATGGAGTTGGTGTACGGTTTATGGTGCAACCTCTGCTAACCAATGTATGTGGTGTAGGCTATACGGTGCAATATACGTGGTGCACGCTATGTTGTACAATCAATGTGGGGCAATCGATGTGGTGCAAGTCAATCTTCGTGGTGCAACCGATGTGGTGCAATCTACGTGATGTAATCTATGTGGTGTAATACACTTTGGCTGTCTGTCTTCAAGCTGTCCTCTCCACTGCTCGTGCAAACATCCTACCCTTCCACCCGCAACTTGGTCGCACGACCTCTTAAGACCGTGACGGTAGGTACCACATGTCACTTGGCATCGACACCGACGCCGACGACCACAGCGACGACGCCGACGACGACGCCGACGACGACTGCGACGACACCGACGACGACTCCGACGACTTCGACGACGACGGCAGCGACGACGACGACGACACCGACGAAGACGATGACTTCGACGACGACGACGCCGACGCCGACGACGACGACGACGACGCCGACGACGACGACGACGACGACTACGACCACGACGACGCCGACGACGCCGACGACGACGACGCCGACGACGACGAAGACGACGACGAGGGAGGAGGGAGGTCGACGACGGCGACAACAACGACGACGAGGGAGGAGGGAGGACGGCGACGACGCGAACGACGAAGAAGGAGGGAGGACGGCGACGCCGACGACGACACCGACGAGGGAGGTGGGCAGACGACGACGACGACGAAGGCGACGAAATAGGAGGGACGACGACGACGCCGAGGACGGACGACGACGACGACGAGGGAGGAGGACGGACGACTACGGCGACAACGACGACGGAAACAACGACGACGACGCCAAAAAGGACGACGACGACGAGGAAAGACAGAGCACGACGATGGCGACGACGATGACGACGACGAGGGAGGAGGGAGGACGGCGACGACGATGACGACGACGACGCAAGAGCGAGCCCGCACGCTTTCGTTGAAAATCCGTGTTGTGAAATCCTGTGTTTTTCATGTTTTTTGGACGCTCGATTTTGAAATCCTTCCGAAACCGACAGTCTTTGAAGGATTTCGGCATGCGAGCGCGACGACGCGCGCGCGTGCACTTCGTCCAATTTTTTGCAGAGGATTCTCGCGACGGCACGCGCGCAAGGGCGTTCGAACGATTTCGGCATGCGCGCGCGAAGCCCATTTGGTAGTATGTTTTAAAAATATTGAACAACCTACGATTCTCTCAAGATTTTGCAGGAGAAACCATGTGTTATATATATATATATATATATATATATATATATATATATATATATTGGAAGCTCGATTTTGAAATCCTTCCGAAACCGTAGGTTTTTGAAGGATTCCAGCGTGCGCGCGCGACGACGCGCGCGTGTGCATTTCACCCAGTTTTTTGCAAGGGATTTTTGACAACTTATGTTCTTTGATAAACGAAAGTGCGCACATATAATTTTTTGCAGAGGATGGAGGGGGGGGGGGCGGGCCGATACCGGCCTGGCTGGGATAGTATGAATTCATAGTTATGATGGACGATGGGGCAGAATCATATGTACATTGCATTACGAAAAGGGGGTGCGTTAACTCCTGGGGGGGGGGTAGAGTCTATTTTTAAGACAGTAGAAAATGTGTGATGTGAGCTTTGTGGTGCAAAGTATGTGTGTAGAATATGGGGTGCAACCAATGTTAAACAATCTATGTGTTGCAACCCATGTGGTGTAATTCACTTTGACCGTCTTGAAGCTGTCATCTCCACTGCTCGTGCAAACATCCCACCCTCCCACCCGCAACTTGGTCGCAAGACCTCTTAAGACAAGACCGTGACGGTAGGTACCACATGGCACTTGGCCACGACACCGACGCCGACGACTACAGCGACAACGACGACGACGGCGCCGCCGACACCGACTACGACGACACCGACGGCGTCTCCAACGACTTCGACGACGACAACGACGACGACGACATCGACGACGACGAAGCCGACGACGACGACGATGACAACGCCGACGGCGACGACGACGCCGACGACGACGACGCCGACGCCGACGACGACGAAGACAACGACGACGACGACAACGACGTCGCCAACGAAGACGACGACGACGACGAGGGAGGAGGGAGGACGACGACGGCGACAACGACGACAACGACGAGGGAGGAGGGAGGACGGCGACGACGCGAACGACGAAGAAGGAGGAAGGACGGCGACGCCGACGACGACAACGGCGAGGGAGGAGGGAAGACGACGACGACAACGACGACGACGACGACGACGGCGACGAAATAGGAGGGACGACGACGAGACGCCGACGACGGACGACGACGACGACGACGGGGAGGAGGAGGAAGGACGACCACGGCGACAACGACGACGGAAACGACCACGACGCCAAAGAGAACGACGACGACGAACACGAGGAAAGACAGAGGACGACGTAGGCGACGACGACGACGCGGGAGGAGGGAGGACGGCGACGACGACGACGACGCAAGAGCGCGCGCGCGCGCACGCTTTTGTTGAACATCCGTGTTGCGAAACCTTGTGTTTTCGTAGGTTTTTTTGAACACACGATTTTGACGACGACGAAACGCCGACGGCGGACGACGACGATGACGAGGAAGGAGGAGGAGGGACGACCACGGCGACAACGACGACGGAAACGACCACGACGCCAAAGAGGACGACGACGACGAACACGAGGAAAGACAGGACGACGTAGGCGACGACGACGACGACGCGGGAGGAGGGAGGACGGCGACGACGACGACGACGACGCAAGAGCTCGCGCGCACGCTTTTGTTGAAAATCCGTGTTGCGAAGGTTTTTTGGACACGCGATTTTGAAATCCTTCCGAAACCGATGGGTTTTGAAGGTTTCCGGCATACGCGCGCGACGACGCGCGCGTCTGTATTTCGTCCCGTTTTTCGCAGAGGATTCTTGCGACGGCACACGCGCAAGGGCGTTCGACAGATTTCGACATGCGCGCGCCGCAAAGCCCGTTTGGTAGCATTTTGTGAAAATCTTGAACAACCCATGGTTCGCTTAAGATTTCGCAAGGGCTCGCGCGTAAGCTTTTTTAGCGAATCAGTGTTGCGAAACCCGGTGTTTTTGTATGTTCTTTTGAAACTCGATTGCGAAATCCTTCCGACACCGACGGTTTTCGGAGGATTTCGGCATGTGCGCGCGACGGCGCGCGTGTGTGCACTTCGTTCCGTTTTTTCGCAAGGGACTCGTAAACGAGTCTTATGTTAGAACAAAAGATGTCCCCGCGTATCAATTTTTACAGGGAACCTCAGGAGGGCCGATACAGGTTCCCTTGGGATAGTGTAAATCCATTTTTAGGATGGACATGTGGTCATAATCATACATGATTTACATACCCGAAAAGGGGGGCCGATAACGCCGCGGGGGGTAGAGTCTATTCTCTTTTTAGAGAAAGGAGAATCTATGGACGACGACGAAACGCCGACGGCGGACGACGACGATGACGAGGAAGGAGGAGGAGGGACGACCACGGCGACAACGACGACGGAAACGACCACGACGCCAAAGAGGACGACGACGACGAACACGAGGAAAGACAGAGGACGACGTAGGCGACGACGACGACGACGCGGGAGGAGGGAGGACGGCGACGACGACGACGACGACGCAAGAGCTCGCGCGCACGCTTTTGTTGAAAATCCGTGTTGCGAAGGTTTTTTGGACACGCGATTTTGAAATCCTTCCGAAACCGATGGGTTTTGAAGGTTTCCGGCATACGCGCGCGACGACGCGCGCGTTTGTACTTCGTCCCGTTTTTTGCAGAGGATTCTCGCGACGGCACACGCGCAAGGGCGTTCGACAGATTTCGACATGCGCGCGCGCGAAGCCCGTTTGAGTGTACTTTGTGAGAATTCGAGATAAACCAATGGTTTTCTTAAGATTTCGCAAGAGCTCGCGCGGAAGTTTTTTTTGCAAATCAGTGTTGCGAAATCTTTTTTTTTTTTTTTTGAAACTCGATTGCGAAATCTTTCCGGCACCGAAGGTTTTGGAAGGATTCTGGCATGCGCGCGCGACGACGCGCGCGTGTGCGCTTCGTTAAATTTTTGGAAGGGATTTGTGGAAAAATCTCATTTTAGAGCAAAAATGTCCCCGCGTATCGTCTTTTTACAAGGGAACCTCCGGGGGGATACCGGTTGTCCTGGGACATTGTGATTTCATATTTAGGATGGACACGTGGTCGGAATCATATGTGATTTACATACCCGACAGGGGTAGCGATAACTCCAGGGGGGGGTAGAGTCTATTTTTTTTTAGAAAGGAGAATCGATGTGGTGCAGTTGATGTGTTGCAACTTGCGAGGCTCGCGCAAGCAAAATTGCGACCAACGGCGGCGACGGACGGCGGCGACGCACCACCACAAGGCAGCCGCACCGGCGCACAGCCCCAGACGGGCGGCGGCGACGGACGGCGACGGGCCACCACAAGCAGGCCGGACTGGCGCACAGGCTCAGACGGGCGGCGGCGACGGGCGGCGGCAGGCTTCTATAAGCTGGCTGGAGCGGCGCACAGGCCCAGGTCCCGATGACACAAGTAAGAATTCCTAAGTGCAAACATTGTCTGGGGAAGAGCGCAACACGCTGTGTGTGTCGACCCCTGTAGAGCGCAGGGTGTTTTGGGGCATGCACGCCTGCGGGAGAGCGTTCGCTTGCTACTTGTGGAACAGGTCCCTGGGCCCTACGTGTACCCCTTCGACGCTCACGCGTCCAGAGAATGTGCTACCCACAGATTCCGAAAGGCTGATTCCGAGCGCATTGCAACGGATACTTTCTCGATGGTCAGCGTCAGCGCAGAGATTCCGACATTTGCGATCGCGCGTAGTTATCTAGTGCAGCCAAGCAAATGACAGCATGAACAGCAGCAGAGGGCGTCGGAAGGGTCCAGGGCGGCCCAGGAGGGCCCGAACAGCCGCCAAAAGCTGCCGAGGAGGGCCCCGAAGGGTTCCGAGAACAACCCAGGAGGGCTTCCTGAGGGGTCGAAAACGGCGGTCGAAGCCGAAAGTGGGACCCCGAACGTCCTCCTCCTGCTCCTGTTTCGCACCTCTCTTTCGACGACGACGTCGGCCTTCTTTCCTCTCCTATCTTTCCCTGGTCCTCCGCGGTGGTCGGGCTGGTCCGAGAAGGAGGAGGAGGAGGAGGAGGAGGAGGAGGAGGAGGACCCCCTCCTACTTCTGGTGGTGGCAGAAGTAGATGCGAGGACTGAAGAAGTTCATGTCCAGCATGGCTGCGGCCCGCACAGGGGCCCGCCACGCTGAGCCCGCAGATGCGGGAGCCACGGCGAGGGCCTACGGAGGAGCGGGCACGCCGCTGTAGCAGTCGGTTGGAGCCTTGGAGGCGCGGCTACGACGAGGAGCGGTGCCCATCGTTGCAGCTTTCCTTTTAGGGTTCTCTGTGGGTGTGCTGTTTCTGTGGCCTTCTCGGCCTCTGTGCCTCGGCGAGGGTCTCCAGGGTTCTAGCTGAGAGCCTCTGTGGGTCTGTGGGGTCTATGGGGCACGAAGAAACGAGTGAGGGGGGTGCCGAACTGACCCCCCAGGAGAACTGAGCTGTGGATACACAGTATTCACCCGTCTCCCAGACGCCTGACGGTCTGAACTATCGGCGCTCTCCAGGAGTCTGGTAGCAGATGCCACTCGTGACTGGGACGCGGACTGCGTGGAGCTGCTCCCGCACGCCATCTCCATCATCCCCATCTTCCTCCAGTACATCAGAGTCAGGGGGCCCAGCGGTCATTCATTGTCCCTGGGCGCGTCTCCGATGCGACCTCGCCATCCCTCGGGCGCGGCGCTGCTTGGGAGGCTGGCACAGCGACGTCAGACGCGGACTCAGATTCGACCTCGCCATCCCTGGGGGGCTGTGAACTGCGAAGATGTCGCCACTTTCGAGGGCTGCTGGGCGGGCCAGCACAGTGACGCCCCGCGGGGGACCCAGATTAGACCTCGCCATCCCTGGGGGGCTGCGAATTACGAACATGTCGCCACTTTTGAGGGCTGCTGGGGGGGCCAGCACAGTGACTCCCCGCCGGGGACCCCAGCACAGATTAGACCTCGCCATCTCTTGGGGCCTGCGAACCGCGAAAGTGTCGCTGCTTTCGGCGGCTGCTGGGCCCAGATTCGACCTTGTTATCTCTGGGGGGCTGCGAGCTGCGAAGCTGTCGCCGCTTTCGAGGGCTGCTGGGGGGTCCAGCGAAGTGACGCCCCGCCTGGGATTTAGACTGGACCTCGCCATCCCTAGGAGCGCGGGTGAGCAGGGCCTCGATCGCATCTTGCGTTAGCTATGCGGTGCTCATCATTCAGGGCGCCAGCGCGACATCGCTGCTCATCAGCGAGCTACTTGAGAAAATCGCTATCCCTCTTTCCCATCCCGCCCTCCCTGTTCCGTAGAGCCGCTCTGGCTCACGCTGCTGCTCAACGGCCACGCCCTTTGGCGCCCACAGTCGCCTCCGCTCGCGAGCGCAGCCGATGCGTCAGATGGGTCAGGAACGGCCGAACGTTTCGAGCAAGCTGAGGCCGATCAGCGTCAGGCTGCCAACGAAGACGGCCCAGGTCGTGCCATGCCAGGTCGGGCCTTTTAGAAAGGGCTTCGCCTTGGAGCGATCGAGAGGTCTTCTTCTTCCTTTGGCGGAAGGTGGCAGACGGCCAGCGGAAGCCAGCAGAAGTACAGGGAGGGTGGCTCCGCCAGGGGAAGCCAGCGGAAGGGCGGCAGAAGCCGGCGGAAGTAAAACCGTGCCGGTCCCAAGAGATGTGAGCATGTCTGGATTCAGGGCTCTGGGGCGGGCCAGGTTGAGGCGGACTTGGCGGCGAAGAGCCTCGACTGGAGGCGGGGGATCCCTCAGGAGTTCTGGAGCACCTCCGCCGTGGTCAGCTTCGACTGTTCAGGGTCTCCGCTGCAGAGCCGCCATGGCGGGGAGGTGGCCTGCGAGCGCATGTCCGAGGATCTCACGAGTGACAGCTCCGACGACCCATGCCCGACCTGGGATGATCCAGCTGCGGTCGAGGGCCCCAGCCATAGCATGGTCTTCTTTCTGCCGGACAGCAAGGAGACGGCCAATTGCCGCTCGCTCGGCTCGACGCTCGAGGCTGCGGGAGTGACCGCCAAATGCCCAGGCGTCGAATGGCACAGCCTCTCGTGGCCCGCGACGTCGTTGCCCATGGACGTCGACGACGCCGTCGAGTACGTGCTGGAGCACGTGCTGGATACCCTGAGCAAGGCCCCCATGGAGACGTCGAAGCGCGGCGAGATGCCCAAGCACATCCGGGTATTCCTCATCGGGCACTCCTTCGGCGGCGCCGTCGCCACGCAAGCGGCGTGCGAGCTGACCAGCCTCTTCGGCTGCCTCGGGACAGACCCCTTCCGGGTGACGGTCGCTGGCCTGTGCGTCATCGACACGCGGCCGCGCGAGGGTCTGGAGCGGCTCGAGCTGGGCCTCCTGCAGCACGTGCGGGTGCTGCTGATCGCCAGCAAACACGATCTCGGCGTGGACCTCGATGCCTCCAAGGATCTGACGGGGCTGGGACGAGGACACATCCGTTCCAGAGCCTTCCAGAATGCTCTCAGAGCGCTCTGGAGCGCTCTGAGACGGCCGCGGCGCCCGAGAGACATCCTCCAGAGCCGCCGGGTCTCATACAACTTCTCGACATACATCCCCACCCGATTTTAGCCTCGTCCTGGCGTCGTCTTCGAGGAGCTCTTCGCCGCGGTGCTGGCCACGAGGAAGGAGATGCTGCTGCTCCCAGGGCACCAGGGCTCCAGCGGCAGACACGTGCTGCCGCGCCTGGCCGACTTCGTGCTGCGGGGCCACCGGGGCGTCGTTGCCTGAGGCCAGCGGGCACGGGCTGATCCCACAATTAAGTCGGGCATGGGCCTCTACAGGAGGAAAATTCAAGAATAGTAAAAAATTGTCTGGTGACGATTTCTCGTTTCTCCCAACCATCCTGTGGTGTTGGGTCCTCGTTTTGAAGAGACAGCGCCCCGCGTCCTCTCCTCCTCCTCCTCTCCTCCTCCCCTCCTCCCTCCTCCTCGTCATCGTCACGCAACCATCCTGTGGTGTTGGGTCCTCGTTTTGAAGAGACGGTGCCCCGCGCTCCTCTCCTTCCTCCTCCCCCTCCTCCCTCTTTCCATCATCATCACCATCATCATCAACAACATCATTATCATCATCATCATCGTCATCACCATCAGCATCATCATCGTCGTCATCATCGTCATCGTCGCAGTCACCATCGTCGTCATCATCATCTCCGTCATCGTCACAATCATCGCCATCAGCTTCGGAAGACCCCTTACACGTTTCGTGGCCCCATAAGGAGCTCCACGGAAGGTCCCCGTGGCGCAGTTCGCATGCGTCTCCCCCACCCAGAACAGCGTTTCGTGGCCCCATAGGGAACGCCACCTAAGGTCCCAGTGGCGCAGTTCGCATGCGTCTCCCCCGCCCAGGACAGTGTTTCGTGGCCCCATAGGGAGCCCCACCGAGGTCCCAGTGACGCAGTTCGCATGCGTCTCCCCCGCCCAGGACAGCGTTCCGTGGCCCATAGGGAGCTCCACCGAAGGTCCCAGTGGCACAGTTCGCATTCGTCTCCCCCATCCAGGACAGCGCTTCGTGGCCCCATAGGGAACGCCACCGAAGTCCCAGTGGCGCAGTTCGCATGCGTCTCCCCCGCCCAGGACAGCGTTTCGTGGCCCCATAGGGATCCCCACCGAAGGCCCAGGGGCGCAGTTCGCATGCGTCTCCCCCGCCCAGGACAGCGTTTCGTGGCCCCACAGGGAGCTCCACCGAAGGCCCCAGTGGCGCAGTTCGCATGCGTCTCCCCCGCCCAGAACAGCGTTTCGTGGCCCCATGGGGAGCCGCACCGAAGTCCCAGTGCCGCAGTTCGCATGCGTCTCCCCCGCCCAGGACAGCGTTTCGTGGCCCCATAGGGAGTTCCACCGAAAGCCCCAGTGGCGCAGTCCGCATGCGTCTCCCCTGCCCAGGACAGCGTTTCGTGGCCCCATAGGGAGCCGTCACTCCCATTTCGGCACTCCCTGACACGTTTCGTGGGCTCCACCGAAGGCCTCAGTGGCGGCGTTCCGAAGGTGGGGTTAGTTCCATGCGTTCGTTTTTGAAGGCTGCGATGTGTAACCCAGCAGCTGCACCTCGCCGACAGCGTTCCAGGGGCGATCGCGCCTCCTTGCCAGTGCGCCCAGTGCACGGAGCTGGGCAACTGGCTGGACAGCATGCTGACGGTGCAGGAGTACCTGGCCCTGGAGACTACGAAGACCGCGGCCAACTTCGACGGCATCTCCAAGGCGAGGGCTTCGAAGCCGAAGAAGCCGCAGAAGGACGACGTGCAGGTCGCCGAGGCCCCCGTGTTCCGGGAGGGTGCCGAGGACTCGGGGGCGGGCGCCGCGCAGGTGGAGGCCCAGAGCATCCGCGCTCAGGACGGCTTCGCGAAGCTGGGCGCCAACGTGGTCTTGGAGCACCACTTCGACCCCGAGACGCTCGGGCAGATCTTGCGCTTCGACACCGCCGAGCGCACGCAGGCCTTCGTCAAGGAGCTTAAGAAGGCCGCCGCGATGATGGAGGACGGCGCGCTGCCCGGACCGAGCGACGCCGACGCGCCGCGGCGCGCTGCCCGCGCCCTGAGGGAAAACGTCCTCGCTCCGTTCAGGGCCCTGCGCGACCTCGACGTCGACGAGCTGAAGAGCCTGGTGGAGACCCAGCGGAAGAGGTTCGCCCAGGGGGGCACGAAGGACGCGGACGCGCCCGTGGACGACGCCCCCGATCGGGACGACGTCGGGGCAGCGGGCGCTGGCGCGGTGCCGGCCGAGGCGGCGCAAGCGCGGTGGGAACTGTCAGAGGAGTTGCCGCGGCCCAGCGACTTCGTCAAGCGCCTTGTCAAAAAGTTCGAGGACGGCGCGGTCAACCCGAGGACGGGGGGGCGGGAGCGCCGCCCTCTGAAGCTAGACCAGGCCCTGTTCGCCACGGCGTTCGCGAACGCTTGCAACGTGGTGTGGGGCGAGGGGCGGAAGATCGAGGACGGCAGCATTGCCAAGCACGAGAAGCGGAAAACGTTCCAGTTCCTGCTCCTTGGCCAGGGCGGCAGCGGGAAGACCGCCATGGTGCAGGATATCGTGCTGCCGGCCATGGACGCGCTGTTCCCTGTGAAACCGGGCAAGGCGAACTCGTCCACGCTGATCGTCTGCTCGAAGTGGTCTCAGGCCGCGAACATCTCCATGGGCGCTCACAAGGCCGTCAGTTGCCACCGGGCGGGAGCTATAGGAGTGCAGTCCTTCAGGAACATGGACATACCCGCGGGGGGCAAGCTGAAAGCGCTGGAGGACACGTGAGAGGCGGTCAGGTGCTTGATCCTGGAAGAGGTGAGCATGATCTCGCCCAACCTGTGCAACATGCTGGCATTCCGGTCCTACCTGGGGCGCAAGGCCGAGTGGGGCGCGGAGGGGCGGGAGTGCGACCAGGTCGGCGGCGCCTTCGGCCGCGTGCCCATCGTGATCCACCTGGGGGACTTCCTGCAGCTGAAGCCGACGGGAGGCAAAGTGTCCCTTATCTCCAGCTTCGAGGAACTGGCGGCGGCGGGCAGCAAATTCGCTCCAGAGTACCAGGCCGTGATGAAGCTCTTCTGCAACGCGCCGCTGTGCTTCGAGCTCCAGGCGTCCAACCGCTTCAAGGGCCCGGAACTTAGGGGCCTCATGGCGTTCCTGCGCAAGGCAGGGAAGCAGGTCCCGCCGGCCATCCGGGCCACGTGGAACGCCATGCAGCTGAAACCCGATGATCGTAGACTCCGGGAGGAAAGGTTCCAGAACGGCCACATGATTGGGTCCTACTGGGACACCGTGGCGCGCTGGATGAATATGCGAGCCCAGCGGGGCGCGGACGCCCTGAAGAAGCCCCTCTTCCTCGTGCAGGCCGCCGACAGATCTGCCCCGACGATGAGCAGGAAGGACGCCGCCAAGATGATGAATTGTGCCGACCCGAAGAACACCAGTGGCATGCACGGACTGCTCCCGGTGCACGTGGGCATGCGTATCTGGCTCCTGGGGGCGCTGGACCTCAAAAGCGGCCTCGTCAAGGATGCCGAGGGGCAGATCGTGCGCGTCGTCGCGGACCCTCGGGATCGCGGCGACGTCGAGAGGGCCGAGAGAGACGGGAAGAAGAGGATCTATCTGAAGCACTTGCCGCTGGGGTTCTGGGTGTGCAAGGAGATGTACGCGAGCGCGCCCTTCGTGGACGACCTGAGGCGCCGCGACGACACCCTCACAGGGGACCTGACGGGCCCGCTGGTGTCCATCGAGCCTCGCACGTCGGAGCCGTTCACGTTCCGCACCCCCAAGGTCACCTGGGCGGGCTTCCCGTTCTCGCACGGCAGGGTCATCACCACGGTGGCGTGCCAGGGGCGCACCATGCGAGAAGGCGACGGGGCGGGGGAACAGGGCCCCCCGGGCAGTCCACGGCCAAACCTCCTGGACGCGAGCGATCCGCAACCATGCCTTTTTTGGTTCTGTGGATTCTCGCCGTGGGCCGTTGGCTGCCCCGCGCGCTGCCCCCTCGGCCGACGTCGCCCAGGCGTGATCCTGGACTGCGGCCGCCACGAGATCGGGGACGGCAGGAAGGACGACGACGACTGGTGGCTGGAGCTTTACGTGCTGCTCTCGCGCGCCACGCGCCACGGGGACCTCCTGCTCATGCGGGCTCCGCGCGTCGAGTTCTTCCTGGCGGGGCCGCCGGCGGGCTTGCGGAAGCAGTTGGAGCAGTTTGCTGCGCGCGCGAAGCGGTGCAGGAGGGAGGCCGCGACCCTCGCCAGGGAGCTGGGCTTCACCGAGTTTACGCGCGAGGTATGACCTGGGGAGCGGCCCGCCCGTGCCGCGCCATAGCCAGGCTGTCCCACAGTTCGGCCGGGCGCCGCGGACGACCCGTGCGCGTCGCTGGGACCCTCTCGGGGCGACCGGCGTGCTTCGCGGGGACTCCGTGCTGCGCACTGTTCAGCGCCTCGTTCGCCCGTCGTCGCTCTGCCCGGCGCCCAGAGCCTTGCCCGCTCCCAGCCAGCCAGCTAGCTCACTTTGCTCCGCGCAGCGGACGACCCGCGTGCGTTGCTGGGACCCCTTCGGGGCGACCAGCGCGCGTCGCGGGGGCTCCGTGCTGCGCTGCGCCCGCGGCCTTGGGCACTGGAGTGCGCGGGCAAAGAGGGAGAAAAAGAGCGGGAGGAAGCGGGGGCGATCCACGCGAGGGGGGGTGCCGATATGGGCGTCGACATTCGTGCTCAGACTCACCCGCTCTCAGGCTCTCGTTATCAGACCAATCGTCTTCTTCCGCGTTGCGTTCCCCGCCATGCATCGGTACGCCCCTCACGCGGTTCTTGGCCTCATAGGGAGCTCCACCGAAGACGAGATTCACAATTGCGGCGCTCTCAACTGCGTATGGTTGGGTATATCGCCAGTTTTTTTTGTGTCGGACCATTTTCATTTTTCTTCCAGAGTGCGCCTGTAGGATGACATGCCCGACCGAATCCTACATCTCCCCTCGAGATCAAACGCGAACTTTTCCCGCGGCGTGGCGGCGCCCAGCAGGACTCCCAAATCTCCACCCCCGCGCCGAAAACTGGCGACTGCAGACAGGAGTTTGGCCCTTGGGCCGCGCGCTTCGCGCGTCGACTGGCATTGGGAACCTGCGTTTGATTTCGAGGAGGGTCGTGGGCCACCGTGCAAGCTCGCTACGTCATGTCGCATAAGACCCACTTTTTGTCGTCGCTCGGGTGCACAGCTAGGGGGCCACATGCGAACCCCACCCCTACCCCCCACGATTTCTGGAGGGGGAAGGTAGGGTTC